ATTTAACGTGGTTCACCAACGTTGTGTTGGCTAGTCCACGGGGAAGAGGGGGAACAGTTTTATTTCTGATTTGGAGAGGCAAGAACAGAGTACAACAACTAGGGTTTGTGGTAGCACCCATATAAATAGTGCTTGGCGAAACCCTAACAGACTTAGGCCCAAAAATACAGAATTAACAGATAATTAAACAAGCCCAAATAGAATGGGGTTCGGACACCTCAGAATTCGGACATCTCAGAATTCGGATTTCTTGACTTCTCCAGAAATCGGATTTCTCGACTTCTCCGGAATTCGGATTTCTCGACTTCTCCGGAATTCGGATTTCTCAGGAGTTGGACTTCTCCGAATGTTGTAACGAGTCAGATTCAAGGCATTACAACAGTACACATATAACAAAGCACAAAAGATATTGAATTAGTGCAATAAACTCGTATCATCTATGTGTGAGGCATGCTTGCCATCCAATTCATTGCATGTCACGTAAATATAATGTTGTCTCCTACAACATCCCATGACCCCATCATCCTTACACCCCCCACCTCCTCCAATAAAATTTACATTTTTACTTATATTTGTCATATTTTTTCATTTTTCAGTAATTTATAAAATATAAAATCAATTTTGGTCGGAGTTTGTCTGAGATGAATTTTCACTCCAGCTCAAAACAATCAACCTTTACATTTGATCGGAGTTTGATTTCACTTGTGAAAAAATATATTTCATACTCCGTATTTAATACTACCTCCGTCACACTCTTTTTGTTCAGTTTTGACTTTTGGAACTGTTCATCTAAGCACTTTGACTCATCAAATTCTCTCAATGTGTATGTCTAAAAATAGTCATGTGTGATCTTGTTTGATTTGTCTTAACATATAGATTATTAGCATATAATTTCTATAATTTTTTAATATACAAATTACAAGATAAAATGAATTAAAGAAGTGCATTGGATGGTGTGCAAAAATGAAAGTGGACAAAAAGAGTGGGACGGAGGGAGTAATAACGTAAATTTAATATCTTTATATTTATTTTATTAAAATATACTCCCTCCGTTCCTTTAAACACTTTCTATTTTGACTTTGAGCAAAAATAAGAAAAGTGTAATTTTGGTAGACTTTCCAATTTTGTCCCTGATGTGATGGGTAAAAGTAAGATGTGATAGTTTAATTATTAGTGAAAAAGTATGATGTGATAGGTAGGGTATGAAAAAGTATGGGTAAAAGTAGTTTTTTTAATAGAAAGTAGATGTGTTTTAAAGAATTAGAAAAAAACGAAAGAGGAAGGGTTTTATGGAACGGAAGGAGTATATAATTTTGATACAAAATATATATCTAATCGTCATAGGGGTAGTATTTACGGATCAGAGTACTTATGTATAATTATAGTTATTACGAAGTAATAGTTAACGTGTTACATAGATTATCGTAATTAAAAGGTTGAATAATGTACGGAGTATAAATTAAACTTTTTTGGGACGGACGAAGAGTCCGGTTTGTGGGAGGTTTCTCCACCTAATTAATTTCATAATTTCTCTTTTGACATCGTAATGAAACTGTTTTGTTTCACTGTAAAAAAATGTTGATTATTTTAAAATTTATTTTAGTACAAAGTTATTTTTAAACTATATTCGGACTTCCTGAGAGTTCGTTTTTTATTCTTACGTATTAGTCCGTATAATTAATTAGCACACAGTTCGTACTTTAATTTGGTACTATTTCAAGGAAAAACGGTACAATATGTAGATAAAGAGTATTAAGAAAAGTAAGTATGTAATATAAGAGCATGAACAATGGTGTGGCAAAAATAGAATGTCAGACGGTGACGTGGAATATTACAACCAATAAAAATCAATCTAGTCACTCTGTGGCAAGTGAGTGAGTGACAAACTCTGCAGTGGCAAGTCATTACATCTGCCACTTTTAATTTTTTTTGATATATTTTAATTATTAAAACTTATCTTACTTATCATAAAAATTTAAAAGGTAAAAATATAAACAGAAAAAAAATTAATTTCAGAAAAAATAAAATAAAAAGAAAATAAAAAATAAAAAACAAACTCAAGCATTGACACGCCCATGCCACGATTTGAAGAGTGGAATGCTTTGACATTCCATGCCCATCATGGGAATTAATGAGGTGGCAGCATATGTGGCAACCATGGCAAAAATTTCTCACGCTGTTGTTGATGCTCTAAATAAACTTGAAAGTAATAAAAATTACTCTGTATGTAGTTAAAATGTATTTAGAAAATATAATAAATATGGAGTACTAGTTATCTTCGTCCCAAAATGATATACACCACTATTACGCATTCTCAGCTCGATATATAATTTTTGTTTGTTTGCATGCTTTAACTGATCATTCGATACAATAAAATATTCATGTCACTTCTTCTATAGTACGGAGTAGAAATTTTGATGTAATCTTTAAATATGTAAGTTATATTTTTAAAATTTAAAATAATTTTAAAAATCACTTGATTTTGCATGTTATTCAAATAAGGTAAATTATTTTAGAACGGATGGAGTATGAATCACAATTTCTTTATGGTGTATTTGGAAACTTGACCTTAGATTTCAAATATAGATTTGATCTAATTTACTTGTTTGGAGACTCAAAGAAATTGGATTTAGATTTAGACCAAATTCTGTTCTTCTAATTCAAAATTACCTCACCACAAATCCACACCTCTATGCATGTCATTTAATTACAAATTCAAGACTAATTTTCTTTAATTTATAACTTGTAATTAAAGAATGGTCTCTACTTATGCAACAACAATTCTATACATATCAACTTACTTCCATCACTGTCTTTGCTAACTTCAAAATCAAATTCTAGAATTAGAATTCTTTGACTTCCCAAACCACATTTGAAATTTAAAATTATGGGATTTCAAATGACTTTATAGCTCTCAAACACTAATGAATCATAGATTCACAACATTCCTTCTTTCAATTGAAATAAGTATTTTTTAAAAAAAAATCCATAAATAGAAATTGACAATCTTCTCTTAGTAGAATTGAATTATATTCACACTCACAAAATAAAGAATCGGACTGTTTAGACTACACAAACATTGTATATATATAGTGCATGTCAATGTTTGTAAAGGATATTAAATTATAAGAGTATTGTGTATGACTTCGTTTGGAAATAATTTTTTCAATCAGAACTTTTTAACAAGTAAAATGTTTTTGTTAAATAACACTTTCAAAACGTTAAAAGTAGAGGTGAAAGTTGTTGGGAGGTGGGCAATGGGAAAAGAGTAAAAGGAAGAGCAAATCAAAGCACAATCCTCTAGAAAGTGAAGATTTGGAGTCACCAAATTGAAAATCACATGCATGCAACAATCTACTCCACATCATCATATCTCTTATTGTTCTCACAAAAGTAGAACCCCTTTTTGAATCTGCTTCCCCTTGTTCCCAAATTTTGATTTGTTTGAGTTGGTAAAAGCATATATCTGCCGAGCATATATTTATATACATACACACTATATAGGACTGGTTTATTATATTTATGCAATTAGATACTCCATACAAATGCTTAAAAAAACACCAAGAAAAAACAATTTGTTAATAATTTTTAATATTATAAACTCCATTACAATGCATTATTTCTCCCTAGATATTTTTCTAAATCTACTACGGAGTAAAATATAAAGTGTCAATACTTCCCCGAGATTTCGAACCTATGACTTTTCATTTAAAAGAATCACAATAATATCGCTTGACCACGAGACATTTTTCTTATTAGTGGAGATGTATTTTTATCTCATTTTAAAATAATTGAAAATAACAATTAATTCAATCCTCAACCATTTCATTTTATAGGTTTGATTCCCATGCTATAAAAAAAAGTCAAGAATTTAAACATGCATGGTAGCCATGATATATAGCAGTCACTTTTAAATGTATAAATAAATAATAATTACACCATATCTAACACAATATATTCTTGATTGGCTGATTTTTTATATACAATAATAATAACAATAGGGAACCTAGTACGATATTATTCAATAAATCGATTGGTACCATATAGATGGGGTATCTGTATAATTATATACTTCACGAATATTTATGCCATACATCCCCATGTGCTATTTTCATCATCCAACAATATTTTAAATTTTTTATACTCTGTTCCTCCCTTCCACTATAATTTTCCAAATAACCTTTTTAGTCGAACATAATACGGAGTAATTTATTGTTTACGGCTAATATGTATTATTATTATTTTAATTTATGGAAAATGATTTATAATATGTAAATCTTTGAAAAAAAATACCCCATTCGTCCAAAAATTATCTTCCCGTTACGCGTTACGATATTTGACTGAAGTTATTTTTCAAATCATTTTATATGAAAATTTATGTGAAAATTAAAAAATTAAAATTATATATTTAAAAACTATATCAAAAGATCTACAAAAGTAGCAATGACATGACTATTATTTTATCAAATAAGAAACAAAAATAGACCAAGTCAATAAACTATGACATGGTTATGATTAACGCTATAAATGAATTTTAACTGATATTTTGAAAATAAAAACATGAAACTTCTATTTTAGTTTTTTTCTAATATTTTCTTCCTATTTTACTCTTTTTCCCGAGTATTTTTTGTAAATTGACTTATGCAGAGTATTAGAGATGACGTCATTTAGGGATATTCATAAAAAGTTCAGGGATGGATTTGTAAATGATTAGATAAAAAAAGAAAATAAAAACATGCTTGAAAATAAGTATGTAAAACCTACACATTTTTTATTTATAAATCAATTTATAAACACATAGAAACACTCATCCATAGTGTTTCTTATTGGGGAGAAAAAAATTAAATAAATAGCAAAAAAAAAGAGATTAGTAGTAATAGAGTAAATAGAGCAAAAAAAAGTACTCGTATTGTTTTACATTTACTGATTTACATATATAATATATACTCCGTATATCAAAAATAAAACACACATATCTTATTGACAATACCACAGTGTCATGTCACAAAATTGTGCATTAAATGGAGGGGAACATTAGTACGTGAAACAAATGTGACCCCCATTGGGGTTTTATTATATACCCCACACCACAGACAAACCACCCCTTCAATTAGCTCGCTGCTTAGCTTCTTCTCCCCTCCCCCTTTCAATTACACTATTATTATTATTATTATTATTATTATTATTATTATATATACGTACCACGTCCATTCCATTTTTTTTAATTATATATATTTTCCAATTTGCCAAGAACTTTCCCGTCTATCTTATCATTTAAAATAATAATAATAATAATAGTAATACTCCATATATAATATAATATATATAATAACACCTTACATACCTTCAAGCTCTGCAAGTGCTATTAGTTGTTATTCCTTAGCTCTATAACAAAGAAGGAGGCCGGAGAGAATCAAGAAGAGGGTGGTGGCAAGAAATGGCGGCGATGGTCGGAGAAGAAAGCAAGTTGGAGCTGAGCTTGGGCCTTCCGGGCGGCGGCGGCGGCGGAGGTGGGGGAGGAGGGGTGCTGTCTGCAGCAAAGGGGAAAAGAGGGTTTGAAGAAACTCAAGATGTGGATTTGAAGCTGAAGCTTTCATCTAATAATACTAAGGATTCCCCTATCCAAGCTTCTGATAAGGCCAATACCAATAAGCCCCCAGCCAAGTAATTATTTTTTTTCTTTTCTTTTTAATTATTTTTCCAAATTTTAATCATACTTTGATTTTTTATACTCGTATTCATATAACACTTTCTCTATGTATCTCTATCTCTCTCTACCTAGCTAAATACAGAGTATAAGAAAGCATCTTTTTAGGACAAAGAGTACATAGTAATTATGGAGTATTGAAATAAAGCATTTTCTTTTCACTCTAAAGACTAAACATTAGTATTTTTTACTCAATAGTTTTCAATGAAAATTGCTAAAGTTATCTCGTCTTTCACTACACTAACCTTATCACAGTCATCCACATACCAACGAGTGTAGGTGTTAAATTGTTTATAGATATATATCTGTGAGAAGGTAGGGTGCCCTTAGCATGGTCCTTTTTCAATTCTATACTGGGTCAAAAGATATAATATATCATTCTTATAACTGACTTCCTCAAATCCAAAAACACATATTCAGAGACCATTGTTCTAGAAATGAACTCATAAGATCTAGCTAGCTAGCTAGAGCATGTATCTCTACATGAGTCTGTATTTTTTACATATGGGATGCATTGAAAAGTTTAGCATGTGTTGATTCAAAACTGAATTACAGAGTTTTATTTTCTTAGAATTTTTTGGTTATTCAGTATAATATTATACATACATTTCTTCGAAGTAAAATTAAATTAAATAACTCAAATTTTCAAAACTTATAGGCAACTCCTTGTCATTTTTCACTATTAGGGTTAATAGGCTTTTATTATTACAATTGTTATTGTGTCCTCTTAGCTTCTGTGTGCATATTTGCACAGATTTATTTCTAGCTAGCCTAGTTGTTACTTGTATCTAGCAAAGTAAATCCCCTTAATCCTACTATTATACTCTGTAATTTTTTCAACATAAAGTGTGTGCGAACAAATTTAATAAGTATAAATATAATGTTAAATGTGAACAGGGCACAGGTTGTGGGTTGGCCACCAGTGCGTGCATTCCGAAAGAATGTCATCGCGGCCAACAGCCAGGCCAAGGGAGGCACCCAAGAGGGCAGCGACAAGGGAGCAGTTCTGGTCAAAGTTAGCATGGATGGGGCACCCTACCTTCGTAAGGTAGACCTCAACCTGTACAAGAGTTATCAGGAGCTCTCCGATGCCTTGACCAAGATGTTTGGCTCCTTCACTATTGGTACCCACCATTGCTTACTCGTAACGTGTGTGTGTGTGTATATAAAATACAATATTTATTGTATATGTGGTGTTCTTAGGTCTCTAACTATAGGTTTGAGTTTTTGGTTAAATTGGTTCCTTGGCATATGCAGGAAACTACTGCGAAGGGGAAGGAGGGATGAAGGATTTCATGAATGAGAGCAAGTTGATGAATGTGCTGAGCAGTTCTGACTACGTCCCGACCTATGAGGACAAGGATGGTGATTGGATGCTTGTCGGTGATGTTCCGTGGGAGTAAGTCAATTAATTTGTTTAATTAGTTAATTAATTAAGCTAAGCTAATAATCAATCATTCGGTAAGAACATATGTTATTATGATAGTGAGCATATCCTATTAATCTATAGTGAACCTAACATGTTTATTGGTAGGCATGAATTATTCAGGTGCCCCATCCAGCTACTTCAATTCCTTATCCATCATAACCTAAACCTAGCACATTAAATCTGAACTTAACCATCCATTTGCTAAAAATGCCTCAATTCAAAGTTTATAATTGATGTGACATTATTTGTCTCTTGGAAAGAGCCTCTCTACTTCTGAGTAGAGGTAAGGTAGCACACAAAGTCTCTCCTAGACCCTACTTTTTGTTGGATATTACTATGATTGTTGTTTTTGTTGACTAAAGTGGCAATATTTGCCTGTGTTAATTTGTTATCTCATATGTGAATTATGAGATAATATTCATTGTGAACTATGGAGTAGGAGTTATTAATATTCATTGTGTGTTTTAAACTTGTTACACCTCGAGGATTTGTTTGACATTTCATGCCATTTAACGTTCCAAATATGGTATCTGAACAATTAATTGTGGCCAAAATGAGAAGATAAACAATTAGGTGCTGACAGAGGGAATATTACAGAGTATTTCTTTATATTGTACCTACATGATTGCCTTTGTTTTCATATTTCTGATACCTGCTTGCGTGCAGGATGTTTGTGGAATCCTGCAAGCGCTTGCGCATTATGAAAGGAAAAGAAGCCATTGGACTTGGTAAGTGATCATTCGTTCAAGTATTATCGCCTAAACGAGTAGATGAACGGTTTATATGTTGGTTTGTATTTACATATTCAAAAAAAGTAACTATATAATTTTTTTAAAATGAAATAATGCTTTGCAGCACCTAGAGCAATGGAAAAATGCAAGAACAGAAGCTGAGGAAATGCAGCATATGGCTGGGTTGGGATTGTTCGGTTACTTATGGCGATGTTCGATATATATAAATTTGTGGGGTGATAGAAATGTGTCAGTTCGAATGGTTGAAAGAATTGAAGGTTGTATGCAGAATGTGGTTAATTGGGTTCTGTTTGTAATTTTTCAAGTGCGTGTCTGGTTTAATTTGGTGTTTCTTCAATACAATTACTACTGCTAGTACACTGCTTCCAGTACAATTATTAAGCTGATTATGGTTTGCCTAATAATGGCTGGCTGTACTCCCCCCTTCCCACCAAAACCCCCAAGTATTTTAAGTACTTCTGTGTGCTATCTGTGTTCTTAATTTGTTAGCTTACTGATTTGTTCTTAATTTGTACTTTCAAAGTCACAATTTCTGCCGCCAAAAACCTCAATTTAAGTTAAACAATGGTTTTCATGTTCTAATCTCTCGGTTTGAAATAGAGGAAATTCCCTTTTTTGTATATTCAAAAAAATGAATCGGAAAGGTAATCTATCAACATTAGAGAGTATTTATATACAGATATATATACCCGGGCCATGTAGCAAACAGGAATTAGCTAGGGATGGACTGAAACGTCTTGAAGAGAATCAATGGAGTTGATCACCAAATCTGCATTTTTCTTCGATTTCATGATAAGCTCAGCATTGGGTTTGTCATTGAATTCAATCTGCAAGTTTAAGGTGTCATCTTTAGCTTACAACGTCACCAAATGGTCATGCATTTAAAAAATACTCCGTATAATGAGTTGGTTGGAATATAATCCAAAAAATGATGTAACAGACTTTGTGGCGAACTTCAATTAGTTACAAACTCTCGTAATGGATTTTTTGTACGAATTAGTCATCAATTCCGTCACAAAACAGTTTTTTTTTTGCAGTGTAAAAGACACATTTAAATAAAAATAAGTACCCGCCATCTTGCAACATCATCGGGAAGTCTCCCTACACCACAGACCCAACACAAAAAAGAGGGCAAAAGCAGCCACTAGTCAGTCATAATCTTCCAACTTTATTCTTGTCACATTGAAAAAAAACATTCAGCAGATCAACCTGTGGCTATATGCCTCTTCAAAACTCGTTGCATTGCTTTTTCAAGGTCAACATCGATAAACCTACATACATGATTAGTGCATAAAGTGTGTATATTAAAAAACAATAAAGCACAAAAGCTGCACTCTCTCATGTATTGATTCCATCGCCGTGTTATTTTGCAAGTTAATTGGTCACTACCCTAGGTAAAAAGCAAATGGATGAGTTGGATTTTTTCGGATCTCATAATAGATCACAAATGGATTAGTAGGTTGTTTACAATTCATCTATTCCAATTTGCAAGTATTCGAGAATCGAGCTGTATTTTAATTCTTACCACTTTTCATCAAATAGTGATGAAATGTCATTCCAAACGCCCTCCTCCAACAACAAGTAATTGCCTTCAACTATCACCACCTTGTGACTGCAAGTCCCAACACAATAGGTGATGTAAGGATTGAATCATAATGTTGAAATTAGAAGATGTCAACATTGAGAGAAAAAACTGGCTAGTCTATGGAGTATAGTTTACTTACTGAATATTCACAAATATATCATTTTCCACTGGATCTCCAACACCATGGTCAAATGATGGAGCATATACTGATCCCTGGTGCAGAGAATAACTTGTGCTATGTTATAAATAAATGTGTTGGCCAACGTCAGATATGATTATCTACTTACCTCATCTCTCAGAGTTTTTAAACATGTTAATAGTGCAGCCGGATCAAATGTCCATGGAGCTGAATTCGTAAAGGTGAAAAACAAATTAGATATTTACCTGATCACTCAGAGTTTATCTATGCTTTGAAACACTACTTGGTTTTCTAAGTTTATCTTTTTTATTTTTTCTTTTTCCGGGCCAAGAGAGAAAAATAATTAAAATGGAAACATTTTGACAAAAAAGTACTCGGTATAAAGAACCTATCTTTGTACTTACAAAATTCCCAATTTTGTGCTTATAAAGTTCCCGTGAAATGGAGATGCCACATTCAATTCTGGACACTCTTACATTCACGCAGATAGTAAAAATTACACTACTCTTGAATACTCCGTAAAAAGTTGTGAAGAGCAAAGAGAACAGAATAAGGTATAGACTGGTAGTTCACTTGAACACTATGTTTGGTTTAACCGTTTAAGGAATTTGAGAGAGAAAAGAAAATGATATGGAAAATAATTTTTTATGTTTGATTAGAGAGGAAAAGAAAATAATATGCAAAAATAAGCTAAGAATAGGGAAAACATGATTCCTTCCATTTGGTGAAGAAAAGGAGAGAGATCATTTTTGTTTCCTTTCCTTCCTAATTCCTTGAACCAAACATAGCGGAAGAGTTGTGAGATAAAAGAACCTAACCTCCCCTCCTGGCATGTGCTTCTTCTGGATCCTACCAACCAAAGAAGAGTAGTCATGCAGTAATATATCCAAAAAAAGTGAACATATAGTTCATAAATACTCAGGTATTAATGTCAGTGTTTATAGACATTGTAAATAATGTAGGTGTAGAAAACAAGCAATTACGAAACCCAACCTCCGTTGCATCAAGTTGATGACGATAGAGATGGAATCCATCCATTGGAAGAACAATGGCAGCTTCAGGTGTTTCCACTTGGGAATCAAATGAACAAGATTTTTGTGGCCACATCATATTAACTCTCTTAGCCACCTCACAGGCAAGAGTGGACTTTCCTGCACCAGGAGGACCGGCCAGACCAACAATATGCCTGCACATGCTTGAGTATTAATTTGCTACAGAGAAACTTTGCATTTGCCCGGTGGCCGGCGAATGCTATGATGAAAGAGAAGAATCAACTCCAGACATTTGGAATGGAAGACATATCTATTCCATGATGAACAATGACGAAACCCTACAGCTCTGAAAGTAAAAAAGCAAGCATTTGTGATATTGAAGAAACTATAACTTACTTGAAATTGGGATTTGATGCGGCAGCAGCTGTAGGAACAATGCGTTTGGCCAGGGTATTATATATGTCATCCATGCATCTAAAACCATACATTGAAGGATTTTAAATTTCATTACTCTGTTACAGCATTACACACAAATACTTGTATCATCTTTTCAAATAATAATAATGAAATAGATATTTCCATCATGTTTATCGTCAAAATCAGGAACTTGTAAATATTATAACTCATTTACTCTGTATAAAGCAGAAGGAATTGTTGAAACAAGAAGAAATGAAGACATCATACCCTGCATTGATGACCTGAATTTCTTTCCTCTGGCAACATACCTAACCAAATCAAACCAAACAAGCTCAATAAATTATACTGGGAAGAAAGTACAATCTAGGGAAGATGCCCTTCCAATCAAAGCATCCTCTTAAGATCAATATCAACAGTTTGAATGACAAATTTAGAAATCTAATTACCTAAAATGAAATTTTCGAAAAATTGTCAAAGGTAAAGGCATCCTAAAATTCCAATCGCAGACACTGAAAACATATACTGAAACTGAACCTGCAAGTGATTTGCCTTCGGAGTTGAATGCAATGGAAATCCAACTGCCCCCCTTCTAATCCGCGAAAAAGAAAAGTGACATTGATGCAACTCCACTCTTTTGCGCAGGAGCAAATTCTCTGCAAATTTGAACAGATAATGAAGCAACACAAATCATCAGTTCTCTTATGTGCGGAAGCGCGAACGAGGATAAGAAAGAGATATAAATGTTTATACGTTTCCTTTTCGCGCCTGAGGGTGCACGGTAGAGCTTCGCGGAGCTGGTCGATAGAGACGCCGAGAACTCCATTTCCAGATTCAGGATTGAGCAGAGAAATTACAGCTTGATTCAATTTGCATCTGCGTTTCGATAGAGTGATGAAGACGATGATCTTGGATCCGAATTGGATGGGCCGTTTCTGCTTGATTTTCGTGGGAATCTAACAAAAACACACACACATGACACATTAACTCAGTTGGCGCTCTATCCAGGACCGGACCGAATGGCTATTGGGATCTAACGAGTTCCGGTTCATAACTTTAGTAGGGTTCAACCTTTTTTTAGTTACTCCGTATAAAATAGGGGCAATTTTATATCTATGCAGACAATAATTATCTGTAAAAATAAATATATGTGGGGCATAAATGGTGGATTTTTAACATTATCTTAAAAAATTGACATGAGAATAATCAACTATTTTTGGACACTCCAGCACCCCTTGCCCCCTCTTCCCCCCTCAGCCCCAAAGCTCCCTTCCTCCCCTGGTAGTATATGCAGCACACTTCGAGAGCATGGAAGGATAGAGGGGTTAAGGAAAAGTATTTCAGAGGGTGTTAGAAGAAAAAATCATCAGTTTTATTAGCAAAGCATAATAGGTGTTAGATCATTCTTGGATCATTTTTTAAGAAAAAAAAATCCATAGTGACAAAATAAAGGAAAAGGACATCACATTATGTCGAAAATTTGAGAATTTACTAAACTGCTTCGAGATTCAATAAATGACATTACTCTTTCATACTTATATTCTTACATAGCCACTTTAATGATCACCAAATGAATTGGTATATTAACTCATATACAGAGTATTCATTAAAAGATGTTAGAAACACTTCGAATATTAATTTTTTCATAGTTATTGACTCGATTACAATATAATATTTCTTATTTATACTTTTTTAACAATAAACTTTGGATAGTAGACTTTCTACCACTCAAATCAAAAGAGAAATTATAAAAATATTATTTATTATTTAGTTGATAATTTTGTAATGAAAGACAATGGGTAATATATTTTAAAACTATAAAAGTTTTGAAATGATAAAAATTTTCCAATTGAAACTTTAAAATTTAAATCATTTATTATAAACATACTGATTCCGTTTGTTGTCGTTTGTTTAAAAAAATTCATTCTGTTTCTCCATTTTTCAATTTTAGATTATCCCAATTTCCCTCTTCCCCTCCCCTAACCTTNCCCCCCACTCATTCCTCCACACCCGCCCCGATTTCCTTTCTCGAACCAAACAAACAGAGGGTAATTGTTTCCTTTCCTCAACACGAACCCAGGGCCGGTCCCGAAAAATAAAAAAATAAAATTGGCCCGGTCCAAAATTTACATTTTGTGCCCTATTTTATATTTTTAGAATACTTTTTCTTTAAAATTATTAACAAATTTAAAAATATGGTGCCCTAAATTCTAAGGTGCTCTGTGCGGTTGACCACTTTGCACACCCTCCAGGCCTCCTATGCACGAACCAAACGCCCACGAGTATAAATATAATGTCTAAAGTACCTTACAAATTAAAATACATAAATCTGTTGTGCTCGAATACTGAAAAGTGGGTGTCGCAGATAAACTCACCCCGCCCCGAACCCGTATCATTTTGTACAAGTTCTTAGTTGAGCACATGAACAAGATTATTCAAATCAGTAATTTTTTGAAAATTCTCGAATCAATAGATTATTGAATATGTAACTAAATAAAGAGAAGTAAATTGCTCGACAACATAAATAAAATTAGGCTGCAATAAGTTTATTCAAACAAGAATTAAACTACTTGCACATCAAAATTTATACTCCAAATTGTACACTATAAGTATGCATCTTCATTTTTGTAGTAGTGTAATGATTCACACAGACATAAAATAATAGTTAAACAAGAATTAAACTACTTGTTCATCAAAATTTATACTCTAAATTGTACACCGCAAGTGTGCATCTTCATTTTTGTATCCGTATATAGTTCATACAAACACTTAATGATAGTACAATTTTTTTTACACAACATTTTATAGCAATGTAAATGATTAAAATGTTAATGCATATTTTTAGTGTATACTTTGGAGTAGACCTTGTTCAAACAATACCAAAAACATTTGAGGTTTATGGAGTGTGCTAGAGCTATACCAAATTTTGTATCCCAACTTGCAACCCAATTATCACAAACAAATGCACAGAGAATAATTGTGTGTCATAGTATGGTAAAGTACAAAATTTGGAATACCCTGCTTTTTTCAAAACATTGTTACACACTTGTAAACAACTTTTCCACGCACGCATCATATAGACAGTCACATTTAGATTGACCATTCACCAGTGGACGAACAAACACAGCATAGCACTATAGTAGTATCAAATATGCATAAACATCACTCGTTGGGAAAAAGACTTGGATCAGAAAATGAAATATTGAAAGTGTTCAAGTCATTTATTAATCATGTCTAAAGTGATAAATAAATTACAGTATGAGAGAAACCTTAGTAATCGGTTTGTATAAGAGCAATTGCAGTTTAAATTATTGGGTAATGAAATGACATGTGAAGCAGGCATTTGCTTTGGAGCTAATTAACCAAGTAATTTTTAAATAAACTCATATGAACTGGTTAACCAACTAATACAAACAAAGGCTTATATTAAGCCATTATATAATAACAAATGCCTCTAAAAGTATAGAGACGCTGGGGATTGAACTATGTATGTACATGCACAGAACACCTTGTAATCTTCCTCTTTTTCTTCTCATTTTTCGATGGCTGCAAATTTATAATGAATGCATATTTAAACCAGAAGCATAAAGACTCCCAAGTGAAGAAGAAAGCTACTGCAGAGACTGTTGTTACCTGAGGTCTGAACATATGAGGGACTTGAACTCTTTTGGAGCCATCGGGTAGACGTTTGCATGGATAAGTGTTTTGGATTTCCATGAAATCACTGCTGATGACCTGATGGACAAAAAAAGGGATAAATAAGGTTCATTACTTTAACGCTTAACTGCTTAAGTATGTGTATTTCTATCCCTAGTAGACATCATTTGGTGATAGTAAAATTTGGTTAACTTGTACAGTGCTGAAATTTTAATTGAAAAGGTCCAAATTCTTCAATTTATGGATTGTATGTTTTTAATAAAGAAAATAATATTTGCCTTCAAAAAATTAAATCAAATGTGATTTTCCCTTTTGAACAAGACCTGAACTACTGTTTTATTACTCCGTATAAGATAATTATTACCTTTTGGAGCATGACAACCAAAAAAAGACATCAAGAATGGGAAAACCAGTAGCAAAATATTGCTGTGTATTAATGAACAAATGGTGTATAGATGCAAATATGAATTACATATAAAACATCTTGTTTGATATCATCAATGGGTCATACCTGATTTTGAATGGTCTCTACCAACGAGTCCTGGCAGCCTAGTGCATGAACATTTTCCAAATTGGCACATTGAAGTAACAATCTCTCTAAGATGCCACAGAAACACATGGTGATTTAGATTAAAAACAAATAAAATAAGGACTTCAACAAGATCTCAAGCAAAAAGCTTTGTAAAGGCAGCATGAGTACCTGGTTGTAAGTTGATGCAGTAATTTAGATTCAGATCATCAAGTTCTGGGCAGTTCAAGTACAGTGACTGCGTTCAAAATTTATATCAATCGTAATCAATATGAGATTCACATTTAAAATTAGGAACATCTTTGGTTTAAAAGTGTTAAACTACAAAAGCTCACGTCTAAACCAGAGCAGCCCCATAAACTCAGTTTCTTCAACCGGCTGTGTTTAATGATAAGCTTTTGATATGCAGAGTGTTGTCTGCTATAAGATACTTTTTGCACGTCATGATCATCTTTTGTCTGAGTTGTTTGGCTGTCAACATTCGGATCTGATAAGGTCATTCCACAGTCCATGATCTCTAAATGAGGCAATTGAGCTGCAGCAAATTGAATTCCACCTAAAGAAACAAAAATATTAGAGTATGAGCCAAAGAACAAATGCCAAACAAATGTTTGTGCAGAAGTAACAATCATAGGCATTTTGGACATTACTTGAGGTGATATTTGGGCAGAGTGCAAGGAGAAGTTTCGACAAATTCTCTGGGAAAACATTGCAAATCATTCCAATGCCATTGTCTGTTATGCTAGATCTGAGAACAGGAGAGAATAAACAGGCATTCATATAAATGATTTGATACAATAGGTTTCTGAAAAGACACAAGCCCAACAAAGCATTCAGTACATAGTACTAGATTAGAATTAAATGCATGATGTGAATGACGATCCAAATATGTCAAAGATCTTCTGTTTCTCACTTTTTCATTAATCAAAGTCAGACCAAGTAAATTATAATAAAATTAAGAAGCATGTAAAGCAAAACTGACCCACTAAGATCAAGTAGCTCAAGGTTTGAGTAGCTTGAAGCAATGGCTGCAACAGATGCATCAGTTATTTCAGACCCCAGGACAAGAGACAGCATCCGCAAGCAACTGCAAATTAAAGCAACCATCATAATTATTTATATGGCATCAAATGAGAGGGGGGAAATGTTTTTTACACGGCTGCAGGCCAGAAGTTATGGAACATTATCACAAAGTAAGTGGCGGCATTCACACCTCAGACTTGCTTCTGTAAGAGAAAGTACAACAGCATGTGAAATGCGAGTAGAAGCTATGTGAATGTTCTCTAGTCTTGGGCAACATCTTCCGAGGCCTTCCACCATAGTGGAAAGATCAGTCGTATCTTTCCCCTCGCGAGAAAAATCTAGAGAGATCTCCTTTAGATTGGGACAGTTGAATACCTGTGGCAAAAGTAGGGCATAATTAGAATAGGATTCTGAAATGTGGCAACCATGTGATTGCTCATTTGATTTTAAACACCTACCATCTTAGAGAGACAACGAAGTTCTGAAAGCCAAAGGGTGGAAAGTTTGGTGGAACAAAGAGTGAAACCACCAAAATTACAGCATCCTTCCATCTTGAGGTTGGTGAGACATTTTCTATGGGACACAAAATGTCCTAACTCTTCCCTGCACAGAGAGTTGTAAATCAAATCTTCAACCTTTTTTTACAACTCTAACACAAATTCCATAAAAAAATCATATTCAACTGCCTTATGCCCTTCAATAGTTCAATGTGGAATGACTTGAAATGAAAAATCAATCCCAATACATGGTGAGCTGAGCTTTATAAAAGAACTCATCACGGATTGCAGGGTTAACAGAGAAGAATCAGACTTAATAAATCTTAATATGAAATTCTAGCAGCATAGATACACAATAAAGTTTAGATTTAATGCAGATTAATAAACAATTAGTGATGATTGAATATAAGTGCTTTAACAAAATGAGATCTGTTAGTAAATGAGTATAACTGGACAAAAAACAACAATAATAGTCAGGAGCTCAGGACCAAAAGCATACCCAGTGATCTGATTTACTGATCCCTTTGATGTAATGATCTCCAATGATTCCAGGTTAGGGCAAGAAAAAGCAATGCAAGCTAGCAGCGTGGCATCAACATCACTGTTAGAAATCACAACAACAACAACAAAAAACAGGTAAGCTTCCAGATCAGACATTTTAAATTAGGGCTTTAAGCATAGACTATTGAAATCCAGCATTGATCTATTGTGTTTCTGTTCTACATTGCTTGAAATTGAGTTTAGATCATAGATCAAACAGTTAAATTCAATTTTAAATAAATTTTAGTTATTTGTTCGTAAAATCGTTAGATCCTCCTGATTGAGTATTGATGAATCTAACCTTTCCATTCTAAGTGAAAGCCTTAGGAGCGCAGGGCATTTCTGCAGTAAGGATCTGACATGCCCAATCTGAGCCTTAGCTGGAACCCTAAGTCTGAGCTCCTCCGCCGCTCTCCAAAGCCGCCTGGCCGTTTCCCTCCATCCCTTGCACACGCTAGCTGCCGACAGTAACTCAGCCGGGGGCAACCTCCTGAGCACCTCCCAGGCGCAGACAAAAGGCAATCTCCCAGATCGTCCTAGATCCAACAAATCCAGTTCCTCCTGCTCGTCGTCTGATCCAGGGGATTCGTTGAGATCCACGTCGTCGAATGACAGAGCTCGCCTGAGCCGAGAAACAGGCTTAGCCGACGGAGGAAGCTGTAGCTGGGGACGGGCGGTCGAGAGAGGCACCGGCGAGATGGATGATGTCGATTCGCTGATATCCGCGTCGGCGGCGGCGGCGGAGGTGGGAGTTAGGTCATTGGGTAAATTACAGACATGGCCTTTTTTGGGAAGGCCACATCGGCCACAGTTGTAGCTCCCCCGCTTCTTGCCGCGCTTGGGCAAGAAGACGTCGGAGATGGGCGTGGCGGGGTGAGGAACGTGGCCGTGCATTTGAGCTTTCGGCGGAGATGGGAGGCTGGCTAGATTGGGGGCGAGGGATGCGGTACAGAAGAAAATGGGGAAAATAAAGAGCGCCGAAGTGGCGGGTTGGGCGCGGGAGTTTTAGTGATTTGGCGCCTATGTTTTTTTTTAAAAATTACCCCTAGTCCTAGTATCATTTACTGTATTATTACTCCGGAGTGATCGCAGTAATTACGGTATTACTGTCGTCCAAACAAAATCTTTCCAATTTAATTTTCTTGGTCAATATTTTTAAAAATGGCATACAAATTCTAGAAAAAATATACTCCTTACTTAATTGTCATGTATACTTAATAGTATATGGAGTATTTCTTTTGAAATTTAGTTTTGAAATATTACTCCATATATTTTTTATAACATATATCTATCTATATATAACGAGAGATATACACCCTCCGTCCCGGAGTATTCGTCCAGTTTTGATTTTTGGAACTATTCATCTAAGCACTTTGACTCGTATAATTCTCTCAATGTCTAAGCCTAAAATCTTAAATATAGTCATGTGTGATCTTGTTTGATTTGTCTTAACATATAGATTATTAATATATAATTTCTATAATTTTTTAATATACAAATTACAAGATAAAATGGATTAAAGAAGTGTGTTGGATGGTGTGTAAAAATGAAAGTGGACAAATACTCTGGGACGGAGGTAGTATTTGTTATAATATTACATTAAAGACTATTAAAAGTTGAATGGGAAAATAATCATGAACATAAAGAGTATTTGAAAAAATAAGTAGAACATCAAATTTGGTAGCCCTACATCCCCGATTGAATAATGAAATTGTGATAGGATAAATCACGTACTCCCTCCGTCCCCCTGTATTTGTCCACATTTAACTTTTGGAACTGTTCATCTAAGCACTTTGACTCATCAAATTCTCTCAATGTGTAAGCCTAAATATAGTCATGTGTGATCTTGTTTGATTTGTCTTAACATATAGATTATTAATATATAATTTTTATAATTTTTTAATATACAAATTACAAGATAAAATGAATTAAAGAAATGCATTGGATGGTGTGTAAAAATGAAAGTGGACAAATACAGGGGGACGGAGGGAGTACAATATAATTATAGTCTTATCTGAAAACGAATGTTCTGATTTGTGCTTGTTATGCACTTCACACAAATATTTAATTTTTATTTCTATCTTGTTAACATATTACTTAACGTTTATTGCATTCACGGATATTTTGTAATGTTAGTTTTCAAAGCATAATGTATTTGTGACTATGCATGTGGTCTTCAATGCATTGACTTCAGGATTGTGTAATACTCTGTAACATTAATCTTCAATGCATATTGCATTGCGACTTTATTGTAATGATGGCTTTTAAGGTATATTGTATGAGTGGTGATAACCACCCCTTCAGACACTAAATTCACTCCAATTTTATTTTGACTTTTTGACCAAATATGAAAACATTATTATAACCTTGACCCTTTAAAACTAAATAAAGATTCACTAAATACGCCCTAGAATCTAAATATTGCGTATTAGAGCTTAGGTTTTATGAACTGCCAATTAATTTTCTCTGGTAATCTTGTTGCCATCATGCTTAGTGTGCTTCCTCTAGAAATGTGTTGGAAAAAAACAAAGAGTTGAAAAAATGAAATGTGGTGAAATAATTATTATATTTAATAATTTTCATATTTTATTCAAACAATTTTTTCTCTTATTTCTCAATCCTTTACCTTTTTTTATTTCTGTATATGTCTATATATTTTTGTCTCAACATTTGTGTGACTTCCAGTCTTCCACTTAGGGTTTGTTTTGTTGAAAGGGGGAGGGGGGAATTGAGTTCATTCCCTTGTTTGGTTCAAAAATATGGAGGGGAGGTCACTCTAAATTTTAGCATCAATTTCCTTTTTTCCTTTCAAATCAATCCTTCCAGATCGGAGGATCTCCGTATGTGCTCTCTTCTTTTTCTTTTTTCATAGAGTTTTTTATCACCGCCTTAAGAAGAATACCACATTTTCAGTGAGATTATAATGGTTATTGGTGTCATCTAAAACTAGTACTTTCAATCATATCTTTGTTTTCACTCGTGAAACTACAATATAAAGTTAACCGTAAGTGAATAATATTTTCATAAAAAAATAATCTAACAAATGATAATGTTTGGCCTTGACTCATTATACATTGATAGTCATGGCAAAACATAAAAATATTGAGAATTATCTTCTCTAAATTTTAAATTGTCATCTAGAATCAGACGGTACCAAATTAATGATTAACCTGGTACCATTACACAACATAGGTGTTTGGTCGGTGTTTATCAATAAAATTAATGATACTCCTTTCTTCTAAACTATTTTATGGTTCAGAATTTCAAAATATTTTATATTATTCAAAAACTCAGTCCTTATCCAATCACCTTTTATGTTTACATCTGAATCTACTTGATATGAAGAATCAGAAATCAAATTTTTCTTTCCATCACCTAGAATAAGAGACAAAACAAATTCATTTATCATTTCAACAACTTCAAATGCAGGTGATTATAATGTTTTATCAAAAAATTGAAAGAAATTGAAAAAAATAAAACGAGTTGAAAGAAATTGGAAAAATTTGAAAGGAAGTGTCATTACATCAATAATGGAAGGTTTTGTAGAACTAGTGGTTTTTCTTTGTACTTATAAGCGGGTCAAAATTGTTTATAAGCAGTTTTTAACTTATAAGTCAGCTGATAACATGTTTCTGTGCAGTCATAAACAGCTTATAAGGCAGAAAACATAAGTACGTTTTAGCTACTTATTTTTTAGTCAGTTTTTTTGTTTATCTGTTTTTGAATATCCCTCACCATTTATAAATATTTACAAACAATTTATCTATCATTTAAAATCTATAATCATATTCTATAACTTAACAAAAGCTAGCACAAGGAACAAAGTAGGAGTATTCAATCAATAGGCAAATTTATCCTTACAAAAAGGCAAATTTAAATACAAAAAAATAATGCGAGCAAAAAAAATAGAGCACTCTAAACAAATCTGTAATAATCTCTCACTATTTGGGTTCATGCTCTTGCGAGCTAAAGCTGCTCTTCGATTTCCTTCATAATACTCTCAGATCGCCGGCGAACTGCCGCCGGGACAAAATCCCTCCGCCGCCAAAGTCGCCGTCCACTTCCCCAAATCAAATCCATCCGAACTTCAACCCCGCCGATTCAAAGGTTTCTCGTCCTCCGACTCGAATCTCTGTCGGGTTTCCGTACCTTTAATTCACTGTGTGACGATTGCGAGTACTGCGTTTGAGTTTAATGCAGATTCGGGAGCGGGAGTGAGCGCAAGTTCCGCGTTTCATGCGGCGCTGCTAGCATGCACGACCGCTAAATTACGCCGAGTTTCGTCTGTTTAATCCGAAGCTTATCGGAATCGGAGGCTTCGATTTCCAGCGCGACGAGCTGATACATTTCGGGGAAGAGAAGAACAGTGCGGGAGGAAGATGTCGAATCAAGTGGTGAAGGTGAGGAGAGAAACAATTGCGGCATGCATGACCTGCCCTCTTTGCAGTAAGCTCTTCAGAGATGCCACTACAATCTCAGAATGCCTTCATACGTGTAAGCCCATCTCCATCCTTCCGCTCATCTGCGATTCCATTTTTCTCTGATTCACTGGCGATTCGTGGTGATGTGTTTCCAATTGCATTTGCATATTTGGCCATTTACGATCTATGCTTGCTCTATTTCACCTGGGTTTACACAGTTTATGCTGGATTGATTGCCTCTAGATATTTTTCCATATTTGCCAGATGACCCACAACTCTTTGTTACTATCCGATTTGCTTTTGGATTTGCGAAGTTCAATTTAAAGACTTTTAACTGAGAATCTAACATGAAGCTCATAATTGACTTAGCTAACTGTATCAGCCGTCTCATATAGTATCTAGACCTGAGCTGAAACTGAAAATTTGGCCCCAGCTGAAAAAGACATTCCGCTTCTTTATAGAAGTAATTATCTATTTCATTAGAATACCATGCGGCATTACTTAAACATCAATGTAACAAACAAAACTTTAGAAGAACAGACATTTGATTGGGGACTTATAAGTTTGTCAATCGGATCTTTTTTTTAATACATATACATTAACACATTACTAGTATTTTTTAAAAATTGGGCCCACCAAATAATGGACCCTGAGCAGCAGCCTCACTTGCTCCCCTAAAAGACTGCCCTTTGTCAGTATATGCTTACAGTTTTAAGTTTCATCTTTCTTATAAAGGCCATACTGTGACTGTTACTGCATGGAAAAATTCTTAAGTGTTGCACTCATTATTAAATTATATTTATACTAATCTTTTTACCCTGCAAGTCATTTTACATTACAATACATGCAAAACTGCTAAGACTTTTCCTTTGTCTGCATTAACTAGCTCTACTATTTTACATTACTTTTTACTCCATTATGATTTGAAAATACAAGTTTGAGTCTGATGATCTAGCTTATCATTTTGATTCAAGCAAAATTTGCAAGTTTTATTTCTCTATTCATTTTTTTCCTTGTTTGGAACTTTATCCAGTTTGCAGGAGATGCATTTACAAGAAGCTCTCAGACGAGGAGACAGAATGTTGCCCAATTTGTAACATTGATTTAGGCTGCGTCCCACTTGAAAAACTGAGGTGTGATGCAAGTTTTCCAAACCCTGCTCATCTTCTTCTCTCCCTACATTTTATTTTGACAAGACAATTCTCGCTTTCACAATTTCTCCTCAACGATCTGCCATATTAGAATTAACTTAGCAAAAAGATTCTATTCTATTTACATATCTTACCATGAAAACCTTTGCAAAATGTTGGAAAGCAGATGCTGATATACACTCTCCATCCAACTATTTTTGGGACATTAGGGAGTGTAATGAGACCTAAGGAAAGTAGGATTGTGTTATTGATATTGATGTTAAAAAGAAAGATAAAAAAATAATAAAGTAAGAATGAATGTGAACCACACAAATATGATCAAATGTTGTATGAAACAATAATAGTGGGAGTAACAAAAGGGTAAAAATAGTGGACAGATAGAATAGTTGCTTGCTTGATTTGGGATTTTGAATCCTTGCTTTCTTCCAGAGTGAATTAGAAGTCATGAGCAATTCCAGACTGTTTTTTTATTTAAATTTAATTCACAAAAGACATATACATTAACAAACACATATCAATCCCAAGTCTGTTAGGTCTGGGGTCAAGATTACACAGCTTGACCAATGTAGAAAACACAAAGACTTTCCGTTAGACCCTTGGTGCATTGATGCATGTGTTGCCCAAGCCTTCATAGAAAGTAAGAAGTAGTGGATGTTTCATGCACCATTTTGATTCAGTTCATTATTTACTTCAGCTAAAACATTTTCAAAATAAGACATTTACTTTGCAAAAAAATATTTTTTGTGAAGTACTCTGTATAATTTGTTTGTTAATAAGATATTAGAGGGGGTTGTAGTATTTTTTCCCAAAAATGGAGAGCCTATGACCCCCTCCCCTCCTCCTCTTTCCGGTGACCCCAGACCCTACATAGGTATGCCCTTTCATGTGGTCATGTGGGAGCTCNAAGTAGTGGATGTTTCATGCACCATTTTGATTCAGTTCATTATTTACTTCAGCTAAAACATTTTCAAAATAAGACATTTACTTTGCAAAAAAATATTTTTTGTGAAGTACTCTGTATAATTTGTTTGTTAATAAGATATTAGAGGGGGTTGTAGTATTTTTTCCCAAAAATGGAGAGCCTATGACCCCCTCCCCTCCTCCTCTTTCCGGTGACCCCAGACCCTACATAGGTATGCCCTTTCATGTGGTCATGTGGGAGCTCGTGCTCCAGGTTTTCCTTTTTCAAAAAGCTCATCTACAATGACAGAACACAAAATAATTACATGTGTCCATGAGCACGGAAATATTATTAGCTGCTTCTGTTTTAACTCCTTTTGATCAGCATTGAAAGTTTGTTTGAAAAGTATATACCTTGAATGAATCAATGAAGACATGTTCTGGTTTACCGTATATTTTACACTATCATCACATAGTATGTGTTTGGATATGCATTTGCTAGCATGAATTACGCCTTGCATGCTTCTCTTGATTGGTATGAAAATCACATTGGTAGGCATGGACTATCAAATTGCGCTGAAGTGTATATCCAACTGTTTGGATTTCAGGGCAGATCATAATCTGCAAGATGTAAGGGCAAAGATTTTCCCATATAAGAGGCGAAAGGTGATGGCACCTGAAGTTTTGCCTTCAGTTGTGTTGCCAGCGAAGAAAAAGGAGCGATCACTTTCATCATTAGTGGTAAATACCCCAAGAGTGTCAACCCAATCAGGTACAACTGGAAGAAGGTCTAAATCTGTTGCCAGGAAATCATTACGAGGCTCTAATTTTTCCATTGAGAAACCTATCAGAAAAGATGAAGCTGACACTGAAGATCAGCCTGAAAGCTCTAACTCACCTGAGACGTTGAACAAGTTTACCCGGAATGCAAGACAGGTAGAGGAATGCCATTTAATTTACTTTTATTTCCAGCATATTCTTTATGTTTGAATGCTTCATCTTGCAGAACACTTCCAATTCTGAACCATCCAGTCTTGTATTACCTATTAAAGAAACAAATAATGCCACTAAACAGTGGGATGAGAAAGTTGATTTATGGAAATCTTTGAATTGTTTGGTGGAAGCTGCAAACCAGAGCAAGCCTATGTTGCAAGTTTCTGCTGCAAAACCTGAACTTCCAAATACATCTGATAATGATGGAAATGTCCGAAAAGTTAAAGTCAAAGAGCATGGACAGAAATTTAAAGTTGAACATGACCACAATGATCCTATTCCTCATGAATCAGAAAAGCCTCGAAAGTTGCGAAGAGTTAGAAAGAAAGATCCCACTTTTGGAAGTTTTAAGATTTCGCCGCAAGATGTGCTTGATGCTACTAGCACTAAATGCCATAGAAGGATCAGCCCAATTTGGTTCTCCTTAGTGGCCTCCGGGGATCAGTGAGAATTTCCTTCTCTCTTCATATTCAGCATTTGTTTACTCCGTAATTTTATGTAGAATACTTTATATTCAGTTACTTATTTTTCCCACTCCTCTATTGCATGACTCCCCACATAGGGAAGGAAATGAACCACTTCCCCAGATTTCTGCAAGTTACTTGAGAATAAAGTAAGTTCCTTTTAAAATTTCATGGTATTTCACAGTGTGAATGCTCTCTATTATTCTTCTTCTTCTTCTTCTTGTTGTTATTATTATTATTATTATTATTATTATTATTATTATTATTATTATTATTATTATTATTATTATTATTAGAGTGTTGCTATATCCACTCCCATTTTGGCTATATCCATTCCATTAATGTTAAATTGACAATTTTTAAACTTAAAAATACAAAAGAGAGAATCTTGATGCAAGACCACTTTTAAGGGAAATATTGTCCATTTAATATAAAAGGAGGGGATATAGCCAAAATGGGGGTGGATATAGAACCACCCTTATTATTATAACTATTATTATTATTATTATTATTATTATTATTATTATGTATTGTGTTATATATTTTAGTGTAATTGGAAAAACTACGACCAATGGTATCCTAATAATCATCAAAGAAGTTTGGTGGTGCGGAGTGCACGCTTCATCGAGTTTGTTACGATATAAAACCCGTTACACCGGGGGTTCCAAGGGGGCAGCGCCCCCGAGCAGGGTTCAAGGGGCGGCAGCCCCTGCGGGGTCCAAGGGGCAGAGCCCCTGGCTGGGGTCGAAAATTTTTTATTTTGGGCTCGGTGCTATGTTAAAAAATTCAATTAGAATTTTAATTTCGAATTTTCTTTAAAAGAAAATTCGATGGATAGGACCGAATTTTGAAGAAGAAACTTCCGCGCGAAGAGTTGCGTGCTTTGGGTAATAGCCGCAAATGGTGTCTTCTCCTTCTCACCCCTAGTCTATAAAATCCCCCTGGGCATGGTCGAATTTCGTTCGGTTTTAGACACAGCAATTCTCATATTTCGTTCTTGATACTTTCGAGTTTTATCCGATTGAATTTTGGAGTGAACAACCAAAATATTTAATCTGAAAGTGTTTACACAACTCTCGATTCATCCAAGTTATCATTAATTTCCCCAACATATTGTTGTAGTCGAGTATCCATGACAAGCATGTGTGCTTCAAATACAATTGTTTTGAAGTGCAATTTACCTTTTAAAAACCTTTTGGTAAGACACTCTAGAGGGAAAAATATACCCCCCCCCACCGCCACCACACACACTAAGAAGCTTCCTATGTACAAACTATAAGCAATGATTTCGGAAAATTGCTAAAGTACTACTTGTTGAGAGTTGAGACAAAATAGGTTTTACTCCAAATGTTAGTTGATCAATCCTGTAGACAAAATGAGACATACTTTAGATGTCTCGGTTTCAGCATCTCATGAAGTAGATATTCGTGCACTTGAATCGAATGCGGTATACATTATTTTTCATATACTTATGAATCTTTATGTGCTCTCGTTAGGAAGCAGCTTTGCAACATTGTAACCAGTTTTTTAGTAACAAAACAATAGAACTATAGAAGTTTGAATTGATCAGCCAACATGTATTCCTTCATATGAGTTGGAACTTCAAATATTTCGGAGCACTCTGTTTTTTATTTCTGATCATGAGAATTATGATATAGGATAAAATAGAAATCCCGATTTCTCATTTTTTCCATGATCTGCATTTTGGTCTGGCTAATTTCCGAGGGAAGACCCACTCATTTATAAGATGGAAGAGAATGAATTTGGGGCTTTGCTTACTAGGTTTTGTGTTTAAGCCAGTCAGATTAAAGAATGGTATATCATGGCTAGTGTAGGAAGATATTGTTCTTAAATTCCTTTTGGCGCCTTATTTGTTCTATTTATATTTATTCTCTGGAGCAGTTGAACATTTGTCTGCACCTTGTTTGTTCAATTCAAATATATGTGTATGAACAGTAGTAACACAAATTGGATCGTTTATGCCTCATTCATATTTAACAGAGAAGGTTCTCTGTTTTGTGAACATCAGTATTGTGGTGCATTACAAGCTGTATTTTTTATTGGTCTGCATAATAGATGTATAAAAATTGGAAGCATTTTCAGTAACCGGCTAACTTTTATTTTTTAAAAAAGTAAACCAGCTAACTTTATATATGAGCCTTTTACAAGAGTGTCATAATGCATGTGTAGTATTCCTTCTACCCCTCAAAACTTTGTCAACTTTATTTTCCATTCATCCCAACTCCCAAAAACATCTCAAATTCCTTTTTCTTAGAAAAAAATTCTGTGGTTCATATTGTTCCTAAAAACTCAGCCATGCCCTTCATGTTCAAAACTTTCATGCTCAGTCAAACCTGGCAAAGGTTGGTGGGATGGAGGGAGTAGGAACGTGAAGCCATAAAGAGAGAGTCAGAGAGACTTAAATGTGGGTGTTTTTTGTGATTGTAAAATAAGTATTAAGTATTAAGTGTTTAAGTATAATTTTCGTGATCAGTCATACATGAGCTTATTGACTCACTACCAATAAGTATTGAGTAGTTTTTAACTTATAAGCCGTTTATTGAAGTATTTTAAAGTGACTTAAATGAGAAATGAGTCATTTGGAGGTATTCATAAGGTTAGAGATAGTTTTGTAAGTGTTTTGGTCAAAACAGAGAAATGAAAAAACGGACTTAAAAATAAGTAGGTAAGAACTACTTATTTTTTTGACTTATAAGTGAGCTTATAAGCACATAGAAACACGTCATCAACTGACTTACAAGTTAGTAACTTATAAACAGTTTTGACCAACATATATCTCAGAGAAACACCCACATAGTCATATAGTCCCTTGTTTTAGATTAGACCTCAAAATGCCAAATCACTAGTTCATGAAATTGGGGGGAGGGGGGGGGAGGTGCTTCAAACCTCAACTGAGACTGCAAATAAGTGTTTCTAAGAGGAATTAATAAAATGGTGTGTTATGAAAATTGCAAAGCTGATGTGGACAGATGTGATTTCAGCATCAGCTTTTTTCTTTATCATTATTTTATTACAATCATAAATATTGTCATTAATACCAATAATATTCGGGGTGGGGGTTGGGTTGTGCTGCTGGGGTGTGTGGGAGGTGGGTTCGAGGAAACTTTGAAATGGACTAAAGCATGTAGGTTGGTGGCAGGGACGGGAACATTCCAGTTTCATTCATTCAAAAGTACCTGATGAGAAAATTGGATCTTGCAAGTGAAGATGAGGTAGGGATCATTTGTTTTAGTCATGCTATGGTGCCCCCAAAATGGCATCTCCAAGTTTTAACTCGCCTCATTTTCGCTCTCACAAACGGTTTCACATACTTTAAATGTCTCTGAAATCGTGTTATGTGAGATCAAAAATGGGGCGGGGTAAAACTTGGGGGCACCCTATGTTTTTCCTTTGCCTTGATTATGACAAAAGAGGGGCATGGCGTAGAAAACTCAGAAATTCACACACAAATTTTCAGCTCTATGCTCTGCTGAATGTTTTACCTGATTGGTGTGCACAGGTTGAAATCAGATGCATGGGGCAGCCGATAGTACCCACTTTACAGCTAAACAGTTTGCTGGATATGTGGCTTCAAATGGCTTCTGCTGAACGGGTATCCGTTGCAATTGGTTCCTCGGCCAAAGATTTCGTCATGGTTTTGGCTTATGCCCGTAAGGTCCCCTCTTCTTAGCCTCTTCTAGCTTCTCCCATCCATTCTTTTATTCACCATTTTCAAGTTCTAATGCCCAGAGAATACCAACACCAATGAGTTATACCAAAAAGAGTCATTGACCACGGGTTTGACTCGTCACTTTAACTATTCTCACGTTGTTGTGCCGGATAGAAAACTAGAGTGCTTCGCATGTTGTATCAACGATTCTACGCTCTGTAGAGTAATATAATATATAGTGTGTGATATAATATTATTGGAGTGTATTACGGAGTAATAAACAAATGTGCTCTCTTGTATTTGTTCAATTTGTTTCCTAATTATATTGGATCTCTCATGATACATATTAGTAGTATAAATTTGCTCTTTTTGTGCGTAAAGAATGGTCCAAATGGTTGGAAACTGGCTTAATGTGGTATATGGGGAAGGTAATTGGCGCTCCATTAATCTTAGTGGCGCTCCACTTTGGTTTTTTATTATCAAAAGTTTACTATCTTGCCCCTCTACTTATAATACTTGCTATTGTCGTAGTATCTTTTCCCATTCTACACCCTCTTTCTATTTTCAGAACATACCCACTTTGCTAAAGAAACATACTCCCTTCGTTCCTAAATATATCTCACATATGCTTTTTTAGCAGTCGTGAAAGCTTTTGTTTATTTCCACGTTTTCATTGGTTTTTTGATAAAATAAAATATTCTTGACAACTCTTATTTCAAAGAACTTTTCATGTAGTTTTTTGATATATAAATTTTATTTTTTTATTTCTATACCAATATGTAAATAAAATGAATTGAAAAAACTTAATATTTTACCTCAGTAATAGAAGTGTGACAAATATTTAGGGACAGAGAGAGTATGATTACTTCACTTTTGTGTCTGCTACACCAATAAGACTAGGAGCGGAAAGATAAATTGAGATATATTGGGATTGAGACCCGAAAAGATGGAACTAAAGTGGTCCTTCAGACGGGTTGCTCATTTGGTCCTTTATTAGATCGGGTGATCTTTTTCAAAAAACTAGACCAGGACCAAACAAAATATGTAGGGTCCGTTTGATACATAGAATTGGTAGAATTAGAATTGAATTGGAATTAAAATTCAATGGGATTCAATTCCATAGAATTGAATTCATCAATTCCAATTCATTTTTTGCACTACCAATTCCAAATCCACATAATTTTTGGGCTACCAAACACGAGAATTGGAATTGAAGTCCTCATTTTCAATTAGTAACGAAAATAGGAATCAAAAATAAATAAAGTTTGACCATGTGAATATAAACATACGGAGTACAACTTAAATTAGAACCAAACAATTTTTTTTTAAACAAACTAAATTTTTGAAAGAATGAGATGCTTCATGAATGCTACGGAGTAAATGAATTGATTACGAATCTCTGAAAATCACCAACATTTTGATGGTTCACACTGAAACAAAATGTTGATGCATTAACAAATATTTATACTGACACAAAGTATTAATGTGTTAACAAAATTGAACATTACACCAACACAAAATGTTGATCATGAGGTGTACAAAATGGGGTACAAATAACATTATTCCAAAACAAATACGTAGAAGGTAGTACTACTCCTAATAACACTCATCAATTGATTCAATTCGCTTATAACCATACTCCCTATATACGGAGTATTTTTCAATATATATAAGGGGATAGAGAGAGATCGGGGGGTTCGGGGTAGGGTTTAGGGGGCTGAGTTCAAGCGGGAAATAAATCAAAAGAATGGAGACGCAGAGGGATGGAGCTCCGTTGTCTGCGAGTAACGGATGTAGAGAATCGGACATGGAGTCGGAGCCCAATTCGAAGCGTCGCCGCCGGTCGTCGTCTTACACAGCTTTATCAGGTAAACAAATTTAAACCGCCAAAGATCAATTGTGGAGTGATTATATATGATTTCAGTTTCATTAAATTCCCGCTGTTTCGATTTTGTTGTTTAGATCGGACACGGGAGCTGTTAGAAGAGAAGGTGTCCTTCCCAAATGTATCCAAGTGTCGACTAAAACACATCAAAGCCTCAATCTTGGCACCAGAGCTCCCCGACTCACTTGCCCTAAATAAGGAATATAAGATCGGGTCGTATTTTGACACTGAATGCCCGACATATTCTGAAACCTTCCAACATGTGCCAAATGTCGAGGCAGGCAAACAACTGGATGTTTTAGATTTGCTAGGGGATGACCTCTTGAGTTTCAGCACTGGTAGCCAAAATGATCCTAGCTCAAGCAGAACAACACGCTGAGAGAATGTCAATGTGGAAAGCACCGTAAACCTGAAGGGTAAATACGTTATGATTTGTTGCGTGTTTGTGCCTTCGATTTGGGCTTCAGCCGATGGCCCCATGGTTTATCACACAGCTTTAGCATCTCATGAGCTGGCTAGAAGAGATGATTTCGTGCTGGTGGTGGTGCCAATGATGAGGGAGGGTTTTGCTCATTCCTACTCTGCCTATCAACACTTCTTGTTGGGATTTTCCTGCCTTGCTGTTCCTTTCTGCGACTCTCATCAGCGTGAGTACATTTGCTCGGCACTCGGTTTTGATGGTAAGATTAAAGCTGTGATTCTAGATCCATCTCAGAAGGTCCTTTACCATGGCCCGCCCATCATGTTTTCTCAGTTTGGAGGAGCTGAACATGGTTCCTTTCCCTTTACTCCAGAGAGAATGGATATTTGTTTACGCCGTGGCGGTGTTTTACAGGATCTCTCCCTCAATGAGCTTTTGGGCCTTAGCGACACTGATGTTCTATGCAATATTTCAAAGGATGCCCAGATTACTATTTCAGAACTTAAACAGAAGTTTGTGGGGCTTTATGTGTGCTCTGATTGTAGAAGCTTAAGGAAGCTTCGGGAGGTTCATGAGGAATGTAGACGACAAAAGTATGAGCTTGAGATCGTGGTGGTGTGCTGTCCCTTCGAGAAGCAGGTGCCCCCAAAGTTGCACGAGAAGTTAATCATGGATGCACTTGCAAGTTTTAAGCTGATAGGCTGGTGGTTTTTTCCCTTCAACAACACCGTATTCCATAGGCTAATGCGAATGCGTGAAATTGATAGTGATCCAGAAGGTCTTTTCATAGTGGATCCCATTGAAAAGTATGTGGATCCCTATGGGTTACCAATCATCAGTGATTTTGGCATGTATGGTTATCCCTTCACTAGGAGGAAATTGATTGAGAAGGAATTTCAAAGGAAAATGCGACTGAGTTTGAAGTCATTACTACTACCTTGGGATTGTGTTTATGGCATGCGTGATACCCTTACGCGCTGGATGGTTGATTATTCTACTGCATTGCTTAAGAACTACATTGTTGTTCTTTATCTGTTCAAAGAGAAGGAGAAATTTCTAGCTGATAAATTGGGTGCAAGGTATACAAAGAATTGGAAGAGAAAGCATTCAAATGTTGTGGTGGTTGCTGTAAACATAGATGGTAGCCACACTAGTGGTGAAGATTTCATGGCTAGGGGGTGGTTTGTATGCCGTGCAAAACCAACCAAGTCAGCTAAACTCTGTGATGAGTTCTTCCATCCTCTCTGTAATCCATGCGAGACTGTTGTTGCATTTGGCGATGATGGTATGATTCAGTCTATGGATCCAAATCACATTTTGAAATGTCGACATCCTCCTTTCCATGGCGATCTACGTGAAGAGATTGCTCGGGCATTTGATGACGCCGGGCTTCATTACATGCGACATTATAACTACTCTTAATGACGGGTTTGCGTTATATATTTATATTTTGATTAGATCATCTAATTTAGTTAATTTGATAGTATAATAATTCAAGTAATTGTCGTGATGTACTCTGTATTTTTTGAGTTAAAACTGTTTAGTTGAATTATAATACTTCAAGGATTTTCTTCCCGGGTCTTTCCGATCCCTTGATGACATTTTTGAACCGACAATATTAGAATTTGGTATGGATGATGAAATATTGTGTTTAAAATTTTGTAAAGGTCTTCAAAACCAGTAGTTCAAACTCGTTAATATGCACACACACACATGGTATGAACAAAACAACCCTTCTACTGTTTCTTTTGATAATTTCTAGAGACACAATTGCAGATATGCACAAAACAGTCAATATTGTCTTTTATTTTGGTGGAGGTTCACATTCATTTTTTGGACCTTGTTGGTTGAGGGTTAAATATGCTTTCAGTAAAATAGGTGATTACTGTTTTTCATCCTTGTAGATATACTTTTTTAATTCATCATTGAAAAAATATTTTATTTTGAGAATGATTCTTAAATCTAATTAAGATTTTTAATTTGTTGAGATATCACATTTATTTTGTATTGAATCACCTAGTCTTGCATTTTTAATGACCTTAGACACAATTCTTAGGATGCCTTAGTTCATTGAATCACATCCCTAATTTCTAACTTTTATTATAGTGTATTCCAAAAATTTTGAAAATCTTTTACTATAATATTTGAGACTTATGTCTCTAAGTAGTTAACATGTGTCATCCTACATGGCATTCTATAATCTTTGTACGTATTGAAGCAGAATTTGGTATTGGTTTCGTTGTTGTGGTTCAATGGTGTAGGAACGGTAAGTTGTTGCGTTAGACGGTAAGTAGTACCATTTGGAGGTCTAGCATTTAAATATGAATTTCTTTGTAGGGTATGAAGAAAGAGCCAAAAAATTTGAGGACTGTTAATTGAGAATTTAATATGAAAAACTGTATATATTTGGGGGTCATTTATAGAACTTACTCCTATTTTTTTTAAATTTAAAGAAAGGCTAATCTAGGGTTAAGAGCATGACCATCGCCTTTTGTGTTGGTAATTAGTCGCCCCTAATTGGGCCTATTTATATAAAGATGTTTGACAAGTAGGCGGCCCACTTTTTCAAATTCGGAGTAGTAAATCACAGCGGTAAAGACAGGATAGGACAACCCGCTTTGGAAGTCGTAAAGGGTGGGGAGTGCCGTGTTTGGCAACTTGTTTTATGACTCGTTTTGTTAATTAAAAAAAAAGAGCTTTTTTACTCCCCCTCTCATCCCTTCTATATGAACTCTGGACTCATTTCATCGTCCCACACCGGTTCGGATTCTTCCACTTATATAGTTAGCTTTTGAAGTGTGGTTCTTTCTTATGCTGTATCAATAGTATCAGAGCAACCTTAGAGTAGTGACTTATGGAGTGGTGCCTGTGACCAACGAGGACGTTGGGCCTTATGGGGGGTGGGGGTTGAATGATATGGACTGATTTCGTTGTCCCACACCGATTAAATGGTGGATTTGGTGATGCGTTAATATAGCCAATGATTCTCCTACCTTAATAGCTAGCTCTTGGGGTGAGGTTCTCCCTTGTGATATACGGAGTATCATTTTTACTCTCTGATCCCTCTCATCCCTTCATTTTTGTTGGTCTAAAAAATCACTTTTCACTTTTGAAATTATTTTTTATGGCTCGTACGATTTTTTTGTCGTAAACAATATTTTTAATCAGATAATTTTACTTATTTTTGTGTCAACTCAAACATGAAACATTTTTATATTTACATGTCTATCACACTTATTTTGGACTACAAATTTGTTCTTTACGAACAAATTTTACCTTTGTGTTAGACTAGTAATAAGTTGTCCCTAATAACATTTTTGTTTGTGGTGGTAGAGTAGATTGATGTTATGAACAAATAACTCTCAATGTTTTAATAGATTGAATATTGATGTATGAATAAATATTACAATTTTTTTCAGTCCTCGGAAAAAAATACTCTTCCATTTTATATTTTTTTCTTTCTTCTTTTTTTATTATTTTACTTTCTTCAATATAATATTTTGACAACCAATTTCAAATACTACACTCGGAGGGGTATAAATGTCTGACAACCAATTTCAAATGTTTGTCAACCAATTTCAAAAGCCAGATTTATATATATTTTTAAAAATTAAAGAAATCTTTTCTTTGATTTGGTCCCTGCTTCTCAGGAAACGATCAAAGATCAAGATGCACGGAACGGAACTAACACCATTCCAAAAAAACTCACAATTTACTATTTAAAAATTATAAGAATTTGTATTTATTTATATGTTTGCATTGATTATTTAATGAAATAAAATATTTTTGCACCAAGGTTCTCATGACATTGGGTTCCAATGTCATGGATGACCCGGGGGTACCCCGGTGTCCCGTTCGTAAAATTGACGGTTCCTACCCCCCTAATCTCATCCCCCCGGTAAACCCCCCACCCCGGCCCCGACCCGAACACACCCCCTACCCCCGTCAATTGCACCCCACAAGTTGATTTTGACTTTGGAGTCAAATTTTGACTCCAAAGTCAAAATTAACTTGTAGGGTGCAATTGAAGGGGGTGGGGGTGTGTTCGGGGCGGGGCGGAGTGGGGTGGGGGGTTTACTAGGGGATTAGGGGGGTAGGAACCGTCAATTTTACGAACGGGGCACCGGAACATCCCCGGATCATCCCATGACATTGGTTCCCAATGTCATGGAAACCTTGCCCCAATTTAAATTAAATTGAACCTGGATTGAAAGCTTTAAAAACTACAATTAATTCATCATGAACAAGTTTCTTTTAATAATTTTTGAAAAATATAATTTTATTGAAAAAAGAAAAAACCTTACAATAAATAGAGAATAGCACAGGCCCCGCCAAGATAGCCAAGCTCAAATGTGTACCTAAAATAGTAAATCCAAAACAAAAAAAATATATTCCTGCTAATGTAAAATTCGTAGATAAAAGTCCTGCCCTAAAAATTTTGCTAAGTTGGCAAAGTGATGGATGCAACCTGAATTCGATTATTAATAATTGTGATAGAAGAAAACTATATTAAGTTTAAACCATCTACAAATATCACGTTCAGGTTTCATTATTTGCCACTAATATTTAAATAAAGCTTAATTTTTCTTCTCTCAAATAATCGTCCAGCTGGTTCTGAGAGTCCTCTAGATGAGTACATCGTTTTTTTCCTTTTGATAAACTAAAGATGTGATTCATATAATTTTTTTAGATAAATTCTTCTTTTTATTTTTTTTATAAATCTCACATATGCATTTATGAGAAATCATGCATGTTCATTCAAATATAGAGAGTTTTGTTCTTACAACAAAAAAATTAACAACAAATCATACAAAACTCTAGTTGGGACATCTCTTGTTTTGTAGAATTTTTAACGTAGTTTAATTTTAATATGTAATTTTTATTTTTTATCAATATACTGATTTGTAAATAAAATGATTTCTAAAGTGAGATATTCCTTCTCGTAAACCCTAATTTGTAATCAATTTGGGGACAGATGGAGTATGTAATTTAAATTTTCAAATATGTTTGAAACAACGGTTCAACCCTTTGAGCCATTGGTTCGATCAGTGGACCAATGCCTTAATCGATTCGATCACCAATTCAGTTCTGGAAACTATGAGTTATACTCCCTCCGTCCCGAATTATTTGCAACATTTGTTTTTTCAGCAGTCGCGAGAACTTTTGTTTATTTCTACGTTTTCATTGGTTATTTAATAAAATAAAATATTCTTGACACCTCTTATTTCGAAGAACTTTTCATGTAGTTTTTTGATATATAAATTTTATTTTTTATTTCAATACCAATATGTAAATAAAATAAATTGAAAAACTTGATATTTTGCTCGGAAATACAAGTGTTGCAAATATTTAGGGACGGAGGGAGTACCACTTTAAACTATACAATTTACTTTTTAATATGTATATCAAATTAAAGTAGATACTTTTTTGAGATGAAGTGGGTATATAATCTTGAAATATTCTTAAACAATCTCAATTTTTGGGTAAAATTGCAATAATTTTTTTCAAAGGTAAATAAATCATACGGTGTACTCCCTCCGTCCCCCAGTTTTTATCCACTTTTGACTTTTGGAACTGTTCATCTAAGCACTTTGACTCATCGAATTCTCTCAATGTGTAAGCCTAAATATAGTCATGTGTGATCTTGTTTGATTTGTCTTAACATATAGATTATTGATATATAATTTTTATAATTTTTTAATATACAAATTACAAGATAAAATGAATTAAAGAAATGCATTGGATGGTATGTAAAAATGAAAGTGGACAAATATTCTGGGACGGACGGAGGGAGTACTTCATTTTTCTAAAAAAAAATGTCAGAATTTACTATTCAAAATACGAAATTTTTTGCTAATTTGTATTTTTTAAACATTTATTTGATAAAATAAAATATTTTTGTCACTTTTTATTTTAAAAAATTTTGACATGTTATATTTTATTTATATACAAATTTATAAATAAAATTTATTAAAAAAATTTAAAATTTACTTCATTTTATATAATGTGACAAATATTTTAGGAGGGTGAGGGTACTACGGAGTAAAAAACAGAATGCATAAAAAGAAAAAGAATACTCCGTACTCAGGTCCAACGTGGGTCCTACTTTTGAAATTATGACAGAGACGGCAGTTTCCCTTCTCGGCTTCCTTTTTTTCTTTCTCTGTTGCTCAAAGTCTTATTTTCCAACCCATTAATATTTTAAATTTTAATTAATTTTTATTTCAACTCCTCTCTCTCTCTCTCTCTGAGTCTTTGAGTTCAAAGGTCTCTCTAAATCTGTCTCTTTGCCCTTCTCTTTCTAGAAAAAAAAGACAACAATGGTGGAATAAAAATCCAATCTTTCTAATGATAAATAATTATTTCTAAGACTAATAAACTTATAATATTAGAAAGATTTTCCTTTTTCATCCAGTGAGAACTCAAAGTCTTCTTCTTTCTCACACCATACCTTTCATCCCATCGCACAAGTTTTTCTTCCATGGAGATTGAAGAATCTAGGGTTTCATGGAGTTTCAGCCAAAGGTCCTGTCTTTCTTAAACATTGATTTTTTTTTCTTGACTTGTTTTTCCTGATTCCCTTCTGAATCTGAGCTTTCAACTGCTTTCCTGCTTCTAAGATGCCATATTTTTGCTGGGTTGAAGTTCTTGAATCTGTTTGAAGAACAGAAAGAGGGATTCTTGGTTCAGTTTTGTTAATAATGTCCTTTTTGCCTCTTTTCTTGATGGGTTCTTTGTATTTTAGGAATTAGGGATTTGGGTTTTTTGTTTCCACTTTCCTTCTGGGTATCACTTGGAAAATGGAGGAAATAGAGGAGGCTAACAGGGAAGCAGTAGAGAGTTGCCATAGGGTGATTAGTTTGTTGTCTCAGCCTGATAGCGATCAGAATCAGTATGGGAAACTAACTGGGGAGGCTGTTCATATGTTCAAGAAAGTTGTCTATAAGCTCAATTCCACTTTGGGTCATGCTAGGGTTAGAAATGTCAAGAAAATCCAAACCCCTCTGCCAGTTCCTCCAAACATTCTCTTAGAAAACCCGTTTTCTTCGAAACCCTCAGAGGAGAATGATCAACCCAAAGCTCTGCAGCTTCTTCCTGCCCATAACTCGAATCAAGAGAAGAGCTGTGATCTCACATTGATGAGAATTCCTTCGTTTGACTTGAATGGAAAAGCCCCTTTTCAGCTACCCGCCCACCACCGCCACAGCCAAACCCACCAAGTTCAAGCGACAAACTATAACTTCCTTCAACAACAACAACCACAAATCCCTCTTTACCGGCGTAGCAACAGTGGGATGAGCCTTAATTTTGACAGTTCCACTTGCACTTCCACCCGGTCTTTTATATCCTCGCTGAGCATCGACAGGAGCGTCGCAAACGTGGATGGGAATGCTTTCCATTTGATCGGTGGGTCCCGCTCTGCTGACCTCGGCATGTACCAACAACACAAGAAGAGGTGTTCTGGCGAGAGGGGCGAAGATGGAAGTACGAAATGCGGAAGCAGTAGCAGGTGCCATTGTTCCAAGAAGAGGTCTGTTGTATTTTTTCGTGTAGTCTTTGTGTGTTTTTCTTTTATTCGTGTTACTCACAAATGGTACTGTTTTGGGACAGGAAGCACAGGGTGAAAAGGTCGATTAAGGTTCCGGCTATCAGTAACAAGTTAGCTGATATTCCTCAGGATGAATATTCTTGGAGGAAGTATGGGCAGAAGCCTATCAAAGGCTCTCCTCACCCAAGGTATTGCTATATTCATCATTTATATTAGTTTCAATCTCAATTGATTTATATTATAACCCGAACTCGTGACACGCAAACACTATGCTTGCGAACTTAGGGGAGAAAAGGATATTATGAAGTGGAAAACGCTTTAGGGTGCATTTGGTTTGGATTCATGAAAAAGTTGTTTCTGGGTTGTGGCATGAGGGGTTTTTGGATGATGTGATTCTGGTTGATTTTGAGTTCTGGAATGTAGAATGAGATTGGTCTTGTATTTGGATTTTTTACTCTCAGAATGTAAAGCTAAAACAAATGCAGCATTCTGTTGATTTTGGAATCAGAAATGACATTATCTGATTTTGATAATCCAAAACAAACGAACCTTTATTTTCCATCATCTTTCATTCCAAAATGGAAAGAGAAATCATTGTTTCTTCTAAATTTTTCGGCCTTTCAACTTGTTAAATTTAGAAAAATATTATGTTTATGCCATGAAAGTTAAAATCGTAAATGTATTTCCCACTCCAAAATCAAGTACTACGCAATAACATAAGGAGATTAACAATACACATACACACTCTTCTCTTGAACTGAGTAAGGTGTTAGGACAAATATTCCATGAAATTTCTTTGTATTTTTTCTTATGTATCCTATGCACAAGAGCCCATTCTATATACAAACCAAGACAAACCCACAAATCGGGCAGTTCTCAATCAGAAAGATATCTTGCCATAATAGAAAACGGAAACATAATATTACATATTGCTATGGTATAAGAAATATTTATTGTGACTATTATAATGTGCAGGGGATATTATAAATGCAGTAGCATGAGAGGCTGCCCTGCCCGGAAACACGTGGAAAGGTGTTTGGAAGATCCCTCAATGTTAATCGTGACTTATGAGGGAGACCACAACCACCCAAGAGGGCCATCACAACAACCCATGAACGCGTAAACCTAGCGAGCTTGAAGATTTTTAGCACGGACGACTTTGTTTGGTTCCATGTTGCTTGTAACGGCTTCACACTTTGTCGTGTACATATTTTGCTAGTTTAGCCTCGACGTAGAGAGATTGGCGGGGGGACGCAACGCCTTCCTTTAAGGGCGCGTTTGGTTGAAAGGTAAATGTGATTTTCTTCCATGGTTTTTGTTACTAGATATAGGGGCTTTGATGGTTAAGGGTTATGCTTTTTTTTTTTTAGTTGTAAGAATGTCCCTTTGAAATGTGACTTTTACTCCACAAAACCATCATTTATGTGTCATTTGTCTTTGTTAAAACTTTGTTTCTTAATAGCTTTTGGTTTTCTTTTTTTGCCAATTTGTTCCTGTCAATGCATAGAAAAGTCTTGCCTTGGAGTCTTGGTGGGTGAACCATTGCCACTTGGGTTGTGGTGTCCATTGTTAGTGCATAAAAACATTTCCTGGGTCTAATCATAGGCTTCAATTGGCTGAATCAATTTTGGCTCAAGCTAAAAATAAAATAAAGTTCCAAGAATTTTTTTCCCAGACATGGGGCCATGTGTTTTATATGATAGTAGAGTTTTGTTAATCTAGAGATCATTAGTTTGAACAAACAAAACAAAGTGAAACATGTCCCTAGGGTCTCTCTAGAATGAACAATTAGGAGATAAATTAAATTATAATCTTAGTACGAAAAATGCGGAACAATATAAAACGAGACAAATTGAACTATAATTTTAGTATGACAAAAAGGGATAGGAGAAGAGATAAAGATGAAAGAAATTGTGGGGCGAGTGATTATTAGTGTGACCAAATGACGATGCACGAAGGCACCCTGCAGAGAGAATGGTTGAATTTGGGGCAAGAAAAGCACTAAAAGGAAAGGAGTGCAAGCAAAATGCAAATAATGCATTATATGACTGTAGTAAGTATATAATGGAATAGAATTGTCTCTCTAAGATTTGATGAGGTGACATATGATTGTCCCATCATTCACATTTTCTCAACTGCCATATAATTCTAACTTCTAAGAATACTCTCACATGAAATTTAAATATACTCAATTCGTCTCACTGTCTTTGTCCACTTACCTTTTGGCAAAATATCAAGTTTTTTTCAATTCATTTTATTTACATATTGGTATAGAAATAAAAATTAAAACTTACATATCAAAAAACTACATGAAAAGTTCTTCGAAATAAGAAGTGTCAGTAATATTTTATTTTATCAAATAACCAATGAAAACGTAGAAATAAACAAAAGTTTTCGCGACTTCTGAAAAAGCAAACGTTGCAAATAATTTGGGACGGAGGGAGTATATTTTTGAGTTTTTTTTTTGTTGAGTTGGTTTGAGTATCAAAGCTTTGTTGATTTAAAAACTACAAATTCAAACCTCTTTTAAAAAATTAATTTTGGCGTGCAGGTTTTCAAAAAAGAGAATTTTACCTGCACGTTAGGAACATACACATAGACACTAGTGTTAGAACTTCTTATAACGTTTAACTACATTCAAGTTTCGTAGTCGATTACTGATGTACCCATCGTATTTTCACAAAGACACTGACATCCACACAAACATACACACAATACATAGAGTGACATAAACCATGTTTTTGTGCAGAGTAATGCTTGGGGTACATCAAATTGTACCCCAAATTGTACATCATCCTTACAATGTGTAGTGGCGAGGGACAGTGTATAATTTGGGATATAATTCTCAACTTGAACCTGAATTGACCCAAACCCGAAATAACCCAAACTCGAAGTGATCGAACCTGTATCCGACCTGACCGATCAATTTGCCTGCTCTAATAATTGTGTATAACAAATGTAAAATAGTACGCGCAAAATACTTAATTTATCTTTAATTATCTACCAAAGTACCAAACAAAGAAAAAAATTCAATCCTTCCGAAAATATGTAGTACAACTCTAATGGATCATGGAACTAAAGGTATTAGTGGACTTAGAAGAACCCAACATGGAAGCCCAATTCAATCAAAGGTGTAACTGATAGTGGTCGGATATTAGTACGGAGATTAAGTTTAAAAAAAATTATTTCAATATGAATGTAACATTAAATATGAAAAATAACTACAAGAAATAATTTTATTACATAATAGGGAACTAGTAGAGGGGTGATTAGAACTGGACACGATAAAAAAACCTACTTCTCATTCACGGGCTAAAGTGCCAGTTCATACCAGTTCTGATCAGGTCCATATAAAATAATGTGCAACAATACTCAAGGTATAAAAAAAATCCTTTCAAATCATATTTTGTTTTATCTGTGTCTCACTATGACCTTTAGGACATGTGGACGTGGAGGACATGTTCGTGAAAAATTGAGTTATGTGATAAATATCAAATACGTAAAGCGCGAGTGAAGTAAAATTGAGTTTGAAACACATGAATATGATAAAAGTAAAATATCACAATAATAGTATGAAAAACAAGAATAATTTATGAGGCCTGGGACTCGCACATTTTGGCCTAGGTGTAATTGGTCATGCCCCCTCAAACAACCAGGGATTTAGAGCAAATGTTGAAGGTCTATAAATAGCATTGGCGTTTTACTTATCTTTAAACTAATTTTTTATGTTATCCAATTATTCATTTTGACTTGATCAATTGCAAAACCTTTTATAAATATCTCATAATAGTGATTCATCTTATTTTAGTCATTTCTCGAAAAAAAAAACTTCAACAAATAACTTATTAATTTCAACTTACATATTAATGATAAGCTAATGAACACAAGCTCAAAAAACACGCGCTAAATCTTACCTTCATAAAAAAACAAGAAATTAAATCTACTGAAATATGGAGTGCAAATGTAATGCATCTGAAGAGCATTAGTGGACTTCGAACAGCCCAACATCGAAGCCCAATTAAACCCACTGAGATTAGTAGTGAAAGTCCAAAACAAAAAAATTCTTCCTAATTTTTTTTAGTGAGTTTCCACGATACACCATGACCATAACTTTTTGGGCCCTATTTACCATGTATCATGAGTGCACATAATTTTTTTTGTATAAAATAAACAAAAAATAAATTAAATATAAGTTATCTTTGTTTTGAAAACAATGTATATCTTAATATTAAATAAATATTTATCAATAAAATAAAAAGGTCCATACACATCTTAGATACACATAAACTGTTTTGACAAAGTTCCCATAAATGATCCCTTAGAAAAGGGTATTTTTTCGGTATTTTTTCATGGGTTAAGGAGCAAAATAGGAGTAAAACATTGATTAAAACCCAAAATAGGAGTGAAAACATAAAATCCCCAAAATAGGAGTTTTTGACATTATCCCCTTTTTGACACTATCACTCCGTTCACCTTTTTTACTATCCCCTTTTTGACTCCATGAGTTATTTCAATTTACTTTCTATCTCCTTTTCCCCCAAAAAAAATTTAGGAACTGCACCAGGCTATTGGGATTGATGAAGCAAAACCATTCATGGGATCTGGTCAATTCCGTAGGGGTTTGTCCGTCATTTCATTTTCAATCTGCTACCTTGTACCTCCATTATATATGCTTACATGCATACACATATGTGGATGTCTATATATTGCAGTATAATTTAGTGTTTAATTTCAACTTTTCAGCACGAGCTTATTTGCTAGGTTATAACTGTGATGATGAGAAGGAACTTGAAGCTGCTTTGAGGTTCTGGTGAATGGTGAGTATATTGATTGTGTGTATAGTTCTGTATCAACTTTGGGACACTCTACCATAGCGACATACAGGGGAGAGTTGGTCCTATATGACTAGCTTGACCGCGACAAAGTGATGTTCCAATTAATGGTGAATCATGTTGCACCATTCACTACGGGCTGTCGACCTGGAGCCGCCGCCACCGCCACATGAAAATCGAGTAGTCATCTCAAGCCGTCGACACCACTGTCACACCTTGCACTGTCGGCATCGATCGCAGTGCCACATTAATTGTCTATACAGTGACAAAAAAGGCATAATGTCAAACATGACAACACACAATGTCACATATAACAACACATAATGTCACATATCGCAGTGTATAATACCACAGATGCTTATATATAATGTCACATATGCAAATTCACAATGTCAAGCAAAGGGGTAATGTCAAACCCGATCATTGGCCGGCACTATTGCCGGCGACCATCACTCATATCACAATCACCTTTGTGGCAGCCGGATGACCAATCGTCTCGACACCTAGCCGTCGACTTCAAGCTTTGCATAGTAAAATTTGTCTCCAGTGGAGACATCAAGCTTTGCCAAGGATTTTGACCGACGACACCATCGATTCCGCCAAGAACTTGGCTTATGGTTGATCAGATTTCAGATCTGGGCGGATGGGGTATGTGGACGCAGCACTTTGCGAGGGCATGAGAAAGAGAGGGGAATGGGCGATGAGGCTCTGCGATGGAGGGAGCAACACCGATGAAGGCAGGGGAAACATCGGCGATGCAATATAATTGTACTACGTATGTACGAAGATATATGGATAAGAGAAGAGGCGGAGCTATGAGGCTTTAAATTGTGTGGTTAGAATTAATTGAAACAAAAAATATGATTAATTACTTCTATTTAGAGAATTTTAAGTTTGAGCTCCTACTTTAAGGACATGACTTATGTTTTACTTCTATTTAGGGGTTTTCTTTTTTTTCTTGTCTCTAGTTCTAAAAAAGTTATTCGTAGTCATTTGTATTTAAAAACCATTATATAATCAGTCAATTCCAGCATTCTATTTGTTTTTAAGTTTAAAAAAAATTATGGAAGGCGCAAACAAAAATACAAGGTATTTGAAAAACAGTGTTTGTTTTGGGAATTTTATTGTAATGAAGATTTTTTTTTAAGGAAACCTCCTTTTACGTAAAAAAAAATACATTAAGGGTGCAGTTTAAATTAAAGAGCAGAATTATATTGTGAGGGTATATTTTGACAATATTGATAATTGAGGATGCATTCGAATCATTTGTAAGAGATTAAGGATGTAAAATACTTTAGAAAAAACTGATAGTGGTCGGAGATTAGTATAAGATTAAATAAAAAAAACTTATTTCAGTGTGAGCATAACATTAAATACGAAAAAGACTTCGACAAATAAATTTTATTACTTAATATATATTCAACTTATTATTGTTCCACTTGTCCAAACTAGTAGAGTGGGGAGTAGAACATGACAAGACCAAAACTTGAAAGAAGAAAATTTAAGGGTCGTTAGTTAGAGCTGTGGATCGGACAAGTTAGTCTAATGTCAGTTGGAGGCGACATAGAA